TAAATTGAGTTCTGACTAAATTTCAAAGGTTACCTGACAATGATACAGAGGTAGATCCGTGATGATAAGATCATTGAAAAAAATTATCTGAAGCTTATCACGCTTTGTGATTACCATAGGTAAATTATTGTTGGTGAAGTGTTTGGATCAGTTGCTGCATTGGCCGTTGCTGGAATATTAGTTTGGTGGACTTGCAGGAAAAAGAGGCGCAACACAAAAGGCACTGAAGGTAAGTGTTGCATACATGTTATGCTCTCAAATGAACACTGGTTTTGTAGTCCTAGAAATATATCTTTCATATTTTTCCTTTCTTCTAGGACTAAGTAAAATCTTCGGTTCACTATCCACTGCATAATGATCTTTGCTGAAACGATTTCTTTATCTTTAAAAGATAACTTTGAAAACAGTGTATTGTAAATTAATAATTTGTTTTGTTGTTATCTATTTTGTGGTTAGCTAGTTATAGTTAAAAGACCTCGCATGTCGTTGTACACTTAAGGACTCACCTTGATGTACATCAAAGAGACTTTTCTTTGCTTGCAAGAGAGAAAGTTTGCTTGATGTCGATTTTTTTGCTTTCGGTTCCCTTTTTATTTTTCTGTCTTTTTTTTCTTTACAGAAGTGGCAAAGAGTGAAAGGTGAGATTTTTCTGTAGAAATGTTGCTGTCTACTTGCATCGTTCCTTTATGGCTTGATCGTTTTATCAATTTTAACACACACTTTTTTTTCCTGTGAATGTTTGGGATTGTTCTAATTACCACCAACTTTGAGGCACTCCAGTGCTTCAGGATACCACTATACACTTTTGGACGATGAATTTAATGGTTGTCACTTGCACATTAACCAACATCTCAGTGATCTGTAGAAAAACTTAAGGAAAACAAGAACAGCAACAACTTGTAGGTGAAGTACGTTTATTATGTTACTCTTGAGTAACCAGATATGCTGGAGCATATCTCCGCAAGAACAGACAAAGAAACATAATTTGGTGTAATCCGCCCTACAGCATGAACGTGCAAACAAACATCGGCAGAGAGTTTCTGAACCTCTTCAGTAAACATTTTCCGAAAAATCCACCAGTACCACAAGGTTTTCAACAAAAACAACATAAACGTTAGTAATAGCTGCACAGACAACCTACAAACCATAATCAAGGAAACAACAGAAAAATCCTCGAGACAAGCAAGACACCCTCCACGAGAAACAACTGTAGCTGCAGGAAAAAAAAACGACTGCCCTCTGAAAAACAACTGCCTCGCTTCAAGCGTCGTCTACAATGCCAACGTAACAACAGAAAGTGACACAACCGGAAAGAATTACATTGGACTAACTGAAGGAACTTTTAAACAACGTTATACGCAACACAAACTTTCTTTTCGGAACAGAAACTATTCAAACAGCACGGAACTATCAAAGCATATCTGGACACTCAAAGACAACAACATTTCTTATTTTTCACAAGACAGCTGCTTGAAGACTTGAAATAATTTCCAAGCAATTTTGGTAGTTAATCATCTTTCATTGAATTGAAAACAGCTTTTTCTTTGAGATTGCAGTCGAATTGCCCAAACCTTCTCAAAACCACTACATGGCACTGGATGACAGAACTGCCGTTCACAAGTGATGACAGATGCCACTCCACTCAGCACCGAACAAATCAGCGAGTACGCTTCTCTTAATCTATACACGCGCTCCTGGGAGACCCCTAGGGAACATGAGACGATAAGTCAGATCGTTGGGAAAGGTGCTTTTGGCCAGGTTGCCAAGGCGACAGTCATAAACCAACAAGGAAGAGCCAAGAAGACGCTCCTAGCAGTTAAAATGTTGAAAGGTACCAAGAAATAAAGTCAGAATTTGCTTGGTCTTTGAAAAGACTGAGAAGTCTGTCCAAATTGTTCGGTTTTCTTTCATATTGTTTTATTTTTATTTTAATTATATGCTTCTGCAGAATTTTCACGCTCCTGTTTAGAGTAATCCCATTCTATATGACTAGTCCACAGTTATGTCCATAGCTCGAAGCTTGTTCTACTTGATACAGAGATGGAATTTTAAGATGTGGTGTAAATATTTCCCCCTTAAATCATGATTACTTTTTAGAGCCTTGGCGCTTTACCTTGACGAAGAAAAGCACCTTTTAATATGATGCATGGAAGAGTCGAATGATATCGATTTATCTATCTCTATATCTATCTATCTATCTATCTATCTATCTATCTGTCTGTCTGTCTGTCTCCCTGTCTGTCCATCTATCCATCTATATATATATATATATATATATATATATATTATCTATCTATTGATTTATCCATCTGTTTACGTTTACCTATATGATGTTACAGTTGAATGATATAATTGTGGTTCATTTGTGATGTTATTCGACGATGATTGATCGAAAATCTTGTTGCAGAAAACGCCTCTGAATCAGAGAGAAAGGATTTGCTGTCTGAACTTGAATTGATGAAACAACTTAAACCTCATCCTTATGTTATCAAACTCCTGGGATGCGTTACCAAGTCTGGTAAATACTGAAATGTTTATTATCAACTATGGCTACCGTCAGACAAAATTAGGTTTTGAAGTATAGAAAGCTTCGTTTTCCTCGGTATTTTTTGTGTTTTAACTCATGATAACTTTTCTCTTAATTTATAGAGTATACCGTAATGATTCGATTTGACGCCCAGGGCGCTTATTTACTTTTTGGTAGGCAAGGGGATAGTGCTTATTTGAAACAGGGCGGTAATCAGGGCAGGGCGCGTACTGTTTTTTTAAGAACCAGCAGAACGTGCGAAACAAAGCTTTGATGTTCATTTGAAAAGGAAAAAAAAAACGGGAGAACGAGCCTGTTGTCCTTACATCCTTCTTGGTTAGAACGAAGAGCCAAGCAAACGCGGCAAAAAATTTCGTTCGTTTGAAGGAACTGTGCACCCACATGGACGTAATAGTCGAGAGACTGAGACGAAGGCCACTGTTTTTTCCCTTAGTAGAATAAGAGAGCTTTTTAAGAAATAAACACATTCGAGGGGGCGCTTATTAAGTACGGTACTCAACATTTTATTCCTTAAAAGGGTATCCAGTCGTTTCGTACGCATGGTCGTTTTCTACCCAAATTTAGTCCATTCGTACTCAGTTTGAGTCGGTTTGTACCAGAAATACTTCACGCGCGAGTGCGTGAACAGATCTCCGTTGTTGCGATTGATAACTTTTAAAAGCGCTCTTCGGTTTAAAGTAGACTACGGGTTCTACATCCTTTTTCCGCGAAGTAAAAAACAATCAGCGGAAACAAATTTGACACGGGGAGTGATGGGTACGAAAAGTAGAGACCCTACTTTTCGTGTGCCTCACACCCAGAGGTCCGCGCGGCCCTCTTAGTCTCAGCTAAAGTAATTGTCTTGAAATCAAAACGTAGAATGTTACTTGTAGGATACTTCATTTATTCGATTGATCCCTGCGGCGTTTAGTACGTTTTTATTGTTTTTGAGGAGGCCTTTGTTGAAGGGTACAGTCCATTTAATTCGCCCGATCATTCCATTAGCCATTATACTGTTTTTTGTTAACTTTTGGGAAAGGCGGCTAACCAACGCTTAAAGCTCGGGCATATTCTATTCTTGCGCGCACGCGCACGCACGAGTGAGGTCTGGATAGAGTTTATTTGACAGCAAAGAAGTAGACAGAGTTTTATACTGTCTGCTAAAAGGCAGCGTATGTATTATCAATAAGTGAGATCTAAGATCAGCAAAATCTACTGGTGGACTGAAAATGGGCCAAGACCAAAACTGCGTGCTTAAGTTTTGCGCACATGTTGCAGGTATGAGCCGGTCAGATATGAATTCTTTGCGAGGGCGGGAATCTTTCTGGTAGTAGATCAAGAAGATAAGACATGACCTCCTTTAAACAAAAGTTTTATATGATGTCAGTTCAGTGGCATCGACATTTTACCCCTTTACGATTGATTTTCCGAGTTTATAAACTAATGGTTACTTTAGTTCTAATATAGATTTACAAGAATTGTGAATATTATCCAATTGTACAGTAGTGGATTTTGTATTTTCCTAGTAGCCTTGAATAAACGTCGTACTCTTGCAAGTGGCTGTGGCGTTGTTGGAGAGTGACGTTTATTGATGATTTTGCTTCCATCTGCGTCATATAATCGATATTTGCGAAACTTTATTTGTCTCCCTAGAGCCACTGGTTGTGCTGATCGAATATGTTCCTTTAAGGGATCTGCTGGGTTACCTGAGAAAGAGCCGTTAAGATTAAATGATACTTACTACAACGATCCGGATATCAAACCACAAACAAATCTGACCTCACAACAGCTGATTAAGTTTGCTTGGCAAGTCGCTAATGGAATGTCTTATTTGTCATCGATACCAGTGAGTGATGAAATTATTCTTTGAATGACGTCCCTATAGAGCAAGGCCTCATTTGTCATTCATTATACTTTCCTTTCCATTGAACCGTGGACTCACTGCATAGGATGTCATCCCATGCCAGCTGAGTCGCCCTCAAGTCTCTCGTTTCTTTAAAGGGTGTTTTACAAAAGAAACGTTTTCTCTTTGTGTAAGGTTGTTCATAGAGATCTTGTAGCTCGTAACGTGTTGGTTGGAGAGGGGGAAACATGCAAAGTGAAGGACTTTGGAATGGCCAGAGATGCCGGCAGGTGGACAATATTTGCGAAAGAAAAACCAGGGTATGAAGACATAATGTTCTTGTAAGCCTTGTATTACATGGCTGAAGATGCCTCACTGTAGTGACTGCTTAAAGAAAACAAGCTCAGTAAATCTTGTTCCTTTTTCCGGAACTTTCGTTACAGTGTTGTTGCCATTGGGAGAATTAGTACTTTTAAGGGCTACGCCAACTCCTTGCATTTTTGCTTCTTATTCAGGGGCGTATCGCCGTAAAATGGACTGCCATTGAGGCGTAGCTTTACGGAAAATATTCTACCAAGAGTAATGTGTGAGTACAAGGAAGATATGAACATTGCACTAGGCTAAATGAGAATGGTTTTGTATGAACTGTTTTCAGGTCTGCAAAAAGTTACTTGGTTACTTTTTTTTTCTGTCTTTTTATTTTGCTGGTGTGAGGTCATTTCAGTGAGGAGTGGTTATCCTCATTTTTTATGGGTATTGACCAGGGATCAACTCTTATGACACTGTGCATGTGTCCCTCCCCACCCAACCCCCCCTTCTCTTTACCACCAAAGATGTTTTAATTACATTTTTCGTAGGGAAGAAATTTTACTTCCTTAAATGAATCCCGTTTGTTTTACAGATGGAGCTACGGGGTTCTCCTCTATGAGATTTTCACGATTGGTAAGTTACTTGGCAGATTACCAGTCCAGTAATTTTAGCTTCAGCAATTGAGGGGACATGAAGTCATGAAGTAAGCAGGGTGTACCAGTCTCTGTAGAATTGGTTTTCGGTCATACCAAGCCAGTTTAGATTGCCAAAGTCGCTGGCCTTCGCCGTGAAAAAATTGTTAATGGAAATACATCTGTGGAGCTTTTCATTTTAAAGTATATTAACATTACCTGCTCTATTCAGGTGGTTCACCGTATCCAAGGATGAATGGAAGGAAGATTGCAAACTTACATCAAGAGGGATACAGAATGCATAAACCACAACATGTGGATGATAAGTTGTATTATAATATTGTTTCCTGATGGCTTTTATTGAAAGTAATATTTGTGCCGCTTTTTGTTCGAGTTGCATGTACGCCCTAAGATTCAACCATCTTTAGTTGCTGAACCAGCCTAACGAAGGGAAATGAAAGAAGAACTACACCATCAAAAGTTGGTATCTGTTGTATAAATCGTTTATCCTTTATCATGACGAGATGGAATTTTTAGACCAAAAAGGTTGCTCATTAGGGATAGGTCGAACTGTTTCTAATTAAACTTTTTTTTGACGCCCTTTTAGGTACGACATAATGGCAAAATGTTGGAAAGACAAGCCTACCTTGAGACCATCTTTTGAGAAGTTGAGAAACAAACTCAAGGAAATGGAAAACCGGCACAAGGTAGAATGGTAGAGTTTACAAAGAGACTCATTTTGTTCTTTTTTTCCTTTTCAAAGTTTGATTGTTAGAATCTACAACCATCAACTAAACTTGATAACGGCGTCACCATAAAGGCTTCGTAACGTAGTTTATGGTTTCAATTTATTTCGCTTTTACAGCAGTTTTTAATTGAGTTGAAAACTAAAACTAATCCCAGCCTGATCACAAACGTTTATCTGAGCTTAAAAGGTTGCCTGATTCAACTTTGAGTTCTGTTGGTTACTGTTGATGTTAACCTTTGTTCTGATTGATAGTTGTGAATAGTTTGGGCTTAGTTTTTCAAGGGTTAAGTTTAGGATTAGTTGGTTTTTCGACAATCAATCTAAGACTTCTCTATCTAAAATTAATAGTATCAGTTATGTACTCTCTTTCTAGGTAAACAATTGAATAAACCCTCGAAAGCTTAACAGGGTATAGTATAATTTATACCCATTTTTGTGTGGGATTTCCCACACTTTGTCAAGGCCCGCGAAATTTATTTCTTTATTTCTTTATTTATTTGTCCACGAGAGAGAAGTGCTTGTCACGTGGTTTCTATTTGCGTTCAGTCGGCGTTTTTTCATAGTATATTGTACGGCGGCCATTTCTCTTCTCAGTCGTTGGGTTTTGGAGAACTTATTCGGAATTTCATGTTTGTTTCTTGGGGATTTTTGTTTCCAAGGTAAGGATAAGTCATTTCATATTTTCACGGGTTCTTTGCGTGCTTTAACTTTTCAATTTTGTTGTGGGAGCTTCACGATTAAGCTCTCACGAAAGGCGATTACGTTTGTACACCTGGTTTGTGTTCTTTCTTTCATAATCTGAGGCGTTTGTTTCGTTATTTCTTCAGGTGTCTATAACAGAAGATTTTTTCACGTAAGTCAACACGTTGAAACGCGGCTTGTGTTCAGTGCAGGTTGCACAGGAGCTTTTACGCTTTCACAAGCCAACATTTATCGGCTTGGACCTTCGGTGCGGGTTATGTCAGATTGAAAGGAGTCATTGTACTCTCGCAAGCCAACATTTGTCGGCTTGAATGTATTTGTGCGGGTTGCGCTTCAAAGAGTCTCAGGGTGTCTCAAAGTGTCTCACGAGTGTCTCAAAGTGTCACAAACTGAAAGAAACTATTGTTTGCCTTGAACTGTCAAGAGTGTTATCTATTTTAATAAACTGAGTTTCTAGTTAGTTGGATTGTTGTTGTTGCTCGCTCAAGCACACAAGTAAATATGGGGATCTCCATTGACCAATTCCGTTCAAGGATTGGATCTCATGAAGATTTACATCCTGATTTTAGTGAAAACTATGACCTCACTGATGATCTCAACATTTCATCAACTTCGCTGAATAATGAACCACTGATATTGAATGAATTACCTGATTTCGATTTTCGTCAAATGGTCCAGACACCCGATAAAGAGCAAAAATAATTTTTTTAACACATTTTACATCAGATTAAAACCTCAGAAACCCCTTTATACTGCTTCCTCAGTGGAGGGGCTGGTGTTGGCAAATCGCATTTAACAAAAGCTTTGTATCAGGCAGTGCTTAAGTATTATAACACTAGAGCTGGTGATGATTTTCATCAGATCATACTTATACTATTAGCTCCAACTGGTAGAGCTTAAGGGTAACACTCTTCATAGCACTCTGGTCATTCCTGCCAATCAATCAATAAGAAATTACAAACAGCTTGATTCAAGTAGACTAAACACTTTGAGAAGTCAATTGATTTTTGTTGATGAAATCTCAATGGTAGGAAATGGTATGTTTGCAATACAGCTTAACAATAGGCTTAAAGATATAAAAGGCTGTAGAGAGGATTTTGGAGGCGTGAGCCATAATTGCTATTGGTGACTTATTCCAATTAGAATCTGTTATGGATGCTTATATTTTCAAAGACCTCAAAAATGTAGATTTATGCTGTTCTTTCTCCCAGTTTATGGCATAAACACTTTGAAATGTTTGAACTTAATGAAATCATGGGTCAAAGAGACAGCAAATTGTTTGTAGAATTACTTAATAGGTTGCGTAAAGGTAAACACACAGTAGCTGACATTGCAAAACTTATTATATACAAAAGAGAGCTATACAAGAAGACATCAACAACCCAATAGATGCACCTCACTTATTTATACAGAATGCTAAAGTAGATGAATTTAAACAAAGGGCCCATAATGCAGCCACAGGAAACAAATTCACAATAAATGCTCAAGATAGTGTTATTGGAGCTATCTCTCCAGAGCTAAGAAACAAAATACTAAGACAAATACCCAATGATCCAAGAAAAACAAAACAGCTAGCCTCAACCCTTTGTCTTGCTGAGGGTGAAAGAACACACCTTGTCATGAATGTACGAACCGAAGATGGCATGACAAATGGTGCTGGAAATGTTGTTAAACTAGTTCAGTTACATCAACAAACCAAACCATCTGGTATTGTATGGGTACAATTTGACCACTCAGATGTAGGTCAGAAAACAAGGAATGAAAAAAGACATTTGTATGTACAATGAATTGAACACACATGGACCCCAGTAAACCCTGTGACTACACAGTTTGCGGTAGGTAGAAACAGAACAGCACAAGTTGTTAGAAAACAATTTCCACTGCGTCCCGCAGCAGCAAAAACAATTCACAGGTCACAAGGTGATACTGACAGTAGAATTGTTGTGGATTTTAGTACCAGAAATACTATTCCACACATACATTATGTGGGACTCAGTAGAGTGACTGCTATAGAAGGCCTATATATTTCCGATTTGTGTGAAAGCAAGATTGCTGTTAATCCAGATGGAGAGATTAAGAACAACTGCAAAACTTAAGCTTTGCATCTCCCTTTTCATGACATAACATTTTCCCTTCTTAAACTGTGTTATCTTAATGTAAGGTCTCTTCACAAACACATAGAAGACATACGTAAAGACTTAATTTATCTAAGTGCTGATATCAATATTTTCACAGAAACAAGATTTAATTCTCAAGATAATAATGACATGTATGACATTGCTGGTTATGTTCTCTTCCGTAATGATAACCTTAATTCCAGCAATGGATCAAGGTCTTATGGTGGTACAGCTGTGTACAGTAAAATCCCATACTTACCTGGATACCCCTATTGTCACAATATACATGGTGTTGAAATAACAGTAATTAAGTTAGCAAGGTTTGAGGATTGGACAATCATAGGGATATATCACTCCCCAAACGTGCCTGTAAGACAACTTTATGAAGCAATAACTGAGGTATTAAATAACATTTCACCAGACAACAATATCATTACTAGAGACTTTAATATAAATTGGCTTGTTGAAACAGACAGAAGACCTTTGTATAATTTACTAGTGAGGGATAACCACTACAAACAGTTCATATCAACTTATACAACTGACAACAACAGAGTAATTGATCATATATATACAAATATATCTAACATTGATATACAGGCAGATGTTTTAGAAACATATTTCACAGATCATAAAGCTGTTTGGGCCTCATTTCACGGTGTCCTATAACAAATTACTTTATCATGATGTACATTGTTTTTAAGTTAAGAGAGCAACAAAAGAAATCAGTAAATAGTTATGAAAAGAGTTGTTTCTCTTTTTTCAGGGGAATTTGTAATGAGAAACTTGCAAAACTATTAATAAGGAAATGCTGCTTATTCATTTGGTACCAGAACAGGCCTTTTAAAATTAAGTTTGAAGTCATCTTTCTAAGAGTTGTCCAGTTTAACAACCATTTACAAAAGACAAAAATAAACTACATAACACACAGTCCTGAAATTTCAAGGCAGCTCCTTTAGCATCTTGGCTAATTTCTAACTGCAACCTTTATTGACAACCCTGCATTAAACAATTATTCCACCGTTAAGTCTGCAACCCCTCCTGAAATACTCCAGGATACCAAAAAAACAACAACAAGCAAACAAACATATTAGTGAAGTGAGCAAACAACCACATGCGAGACTTTCACGTAATCTAAAATTCGTGATTGCAGCATTCCCACGTGCGTAAAGTGCTTGTAACTTACGGGAAACACACGCATGTTACACCAAAAAAACCCACGTGTAGTACAAGAGGCCGATTACTCGCAATTTCTCGTAGTTTTGAATTTCCCTTTTGTTTTTCAGAACACCCATATACCTGTACTTTTTTACACCGATGCGATAGAAATTAATTGGAAAAACATTCCTTGAAATAGGAAGTCGTCCTGTATTTTCAGCGAAAAAGATTGTCAAGTGATCAAAACAACACCGGCCAGATTATAGTCACGTGCTCGGCAACGACTTGTGGAAAGCGATCATCTTTCATTCTTACCATCAAAACAGTCACGCTTGCATAGAAGAATAACAAAACGAAACGATTACAACGGAAAGACCCAAATTGGCGTAGAAAGAAATAATGCTGCAAATTACCATTTTTTTTATGTCATGTGTACATGTTTCCGTGGGAATTTCTGTGTCAACAGCTTGCTATCACTCACAAACTCTTCGTGATTCTCGCTGGTCCTCGTTATGTTCAGCGCATGGACGATTCGAAGACGCTTCAAATTTGGTTTTTAAGTTGATCATAGCACTAATCTGAAACATTTGAAGTCCATTTCAATATAGTAAATGTCGAAACAGGCGTGTAAAGACAATAAATATCGCAACGATCAGTGCAATCATAATAGCGCCACGACTTTGGACTTACTTCTTCGGAAGGATAGATCTCGAGTTCGAAGCCGACTAATTACGACTAATTACGAAGAGTCCACGCTAATTTGCATATCGCAGAGCGCCCACAAGAACTCGTTTCTACGCTATCGTGTATCCACGAGTTAAAAAGTAGTAGCAGAAATTTTTTCAATTTTTTTTCAATGACTGTTACGAAAATATTTACTGCTCCAAGTATTTCCAGTATTGCCGTAAAAACCAAATAAATAGCCTAAGCCACCAAGAGGTAATTTATTTGTTGAAGACGATTACCAAACGTTCAAAAACATATTGCTTGATAAAAGGAAAAGTTAATACCCCAGATCCCTCCTGTGATTCTATATTTGTTCAAATAATTCCCACACAAAAATTACTATTCAGACTGTTGATTACAGGCCTAATATCACCCCTGTAGTACAGTTGACTCACAGTGAGCGACAGGTTTGCTTCCGCTCAAAAACCCCTTGCAAACACTTTGTCAATGAAATCCCACACAAGTACGCATTGCGGACCTATTTTTTATAATTTTTCGTATGTCTTTTTTTTTTTACAGGGGCTGATAAACTTAAAAAATTACGATGATCGACTCTACGTTAACATCGACGATCTTGCAGTGTGAGCGAGTGATTTCTCTTACAGGAAAGGATGGAGTAATGAACATTGCAGCGCTATGACATCATCTTCTATTGAGAAAAGAGTTGCTTAGTCAGCAATTTTAGTCTTGGAAAGACAAATGATTTTGTACCAACGAGTTTAAAAGCTGCGACCCTAATTTTCCCCCTGGCGTTATATACATTTTTATAAGTCTTTTACACAAAATATGTATTTTACTTTAAAATGTCCAACGAATCCACACCAAAAATATTCCCATGTTGTTCCCATGTTGCATCTGCTGTGCCTTTTGTTATATTTTGAAACTTAGCGGATGAATCTTTTGTCGTAAAAAAATTCCTTCATTGATTAAGGTGGCCCAGCAGGGAAAACAGTAATGTTTTTACAGTAATATTTTTTGAACCAGCGGTTTAACCATGTTTAGATGGTGTTCATCAAGAAAAGTAAGTTTTACGCCATGTACTGATCAGTTTCATCACAAAATCTTAACTTTTATGAAACTTTCTAAATGATTGCAGTTGGATTATAATGGCCTAATTATTCTGTATAAATAAAGAAAACAGTTTAAAAATCAAAAGTACTGAGATTCTGGTTCCTTCGTTTCACTTGGAATTTTTAACAATGAAAGTCATAATAAGATGTTGTCTCTTAAACTCTGTATTATTTAAGTCATGCATTTCAGTGAAACAAAGTTAAAATTATTTGTGCAAAGTTTAAGCGATCATGGTATCATATCGGGAAGTTGACTACTAAATAAAGAATTAGGGGCTTGATAACAACCAGAGCATGTGCATTTAGCACGACGAGCTTAGCCCACCAACAAAAATTTATGCAAATTAGGTTACGGCGGATCTGAGAGCAGTCTGGCAATTAATAACTCTAAGAGAAGAACTGAGTTCGCGTATTACTTTTTCGGAGTTTGACTGCTGGTCGTGCGTCGTGGGTCGTGGATCGTGGCTACAATACTACCACTACTTATAATAATTCATTAATAGAACTAATGATAATGATATTTTAAACAACATAATGTAATATAGTTTATATGATATTAGAGGTATTTGTTATTAATTATGGTCTGAGTTGACTTACAAATAATAATACATGAATACATAAATCAGTAATACATAAATATTCTTCAACCCATCCCCCACTCTAAGTATCATGGCTCATCACAATATCATTGTATCAGCTCGGTTTAGTGAGGTTAATGTTTCAGTGATTTAGTTAAAATTCATTCAACAGAATTCATTCATTTCACCCAAAAAGAAAAGTGAAAACAAAGACAAAGCCATTAATTGTGGGATGATGTAATCTCTAAATAAATAAATAAAGAAGTTCTAATACTTTCAATTTTTGAAATGATCAATTTGTTATCTGTCAAAGACCAGACCCGGCAAAGTTACAAAATCACACCTACTCCAGGAACATTTGTTTCACTGTTCGTCGAGAAGTATTGCATTATTTCACGGTAGTACTTTGTGTGCCCGGGTGTGTGTGGGTCGAAGTTCGGATTCTCTCAAGTAGCCGCTGTGAAGTTTTGCTATTTTCGCTTTATTTGGTCACTTATGTCAGCCAAAAGAATTTACGCCGAAGTTGTTTCTGGGATTGAGAATACTCCAGATGACGACCAAAGCAGGATGCGAGCTTACCAGCAAGAAAGCGAGGAAGACGCACTGAAAAAAAGCCATCAAATTAAGGAAGGTATACACGACTTTCATAATGGCGGACATCGCGAGAGCCCTGGATCGAGTTGCATGAAAAACGAGGTCAGAAAGGCCAAACTATCGCGTCGCGTCCCTCTTCGCTTGTTATGGCGAGTACTTCGAATATTTCAAATCCGACATTTCTTACGGAAAACGATATACCAGGCGCTACTCTTCTTGGAACAAACCTGAGGAGTTAAAAATCTCACAGATTAAATTTTTGCTTAAATGTTGTGGAGATGCGGGGAAGCGAGTGCATGATTACATACGACCCTGGTTTCTGGGCCGAACAAGGGAAGAAACTGCTTTCTTATTACTTTGAACATTTTATTAAGTTTGCTCATGCAATGCTTTTCAATTGAAATTGTCTGGCAAGTAACAACAGTGATTGTGAAGTCTTATGAACAGCTACATCTGGTTGACCCTGTAATCCACAGTTTTCCTGAAAAAGCTATTTTGTCATGACATCTCTGTTTTTTTCAACAGAATTGGTAATATCATGCTTCTACATTCAAATATTCTTAATTGTCTTGAATTTAATTGTTGACTGGGAATTAATACCTAACATGAATAAATTCTTACTGTTTTGTAGTTTTAATTTGTTGTGGGTTGAAATTTTTCCCACCAGTTTGATTTTTAATCTCCTTTGTTTCAAAGTATGCTAAAGAATACAAAGGAAAATTAAAACCAAACTGGTTTAAACATTTTGCACCAAAGATAATTTAAACACAACATGGACTACATGGTCTTTACAGACAGAAAAGAAGTCGCTCAATTTTGATATAAACCTTACGAAAAATAGTCAGAACAGAGGGGAAAATGTTGTCTTTATCTTAATGCCCAATTTGTAGCCCCTTACAATCTAAGGAGAGAAGAGGTTTGTAGGCAATTTATGGGTTAAGGAATTCATTCATACCTCACATGAATGTGACATTCACATTGATATTACGTTGGGTAGTGCACTACAACAGAATGCACACACTGCCCACATCTGGTTTACAATTCCCATTTGATGTAGTGGAACAACTCTGTCCCAGATGTGAAAATTCTTAATCTTGTTAAAGGCAGGTTCAACATGTATCCGTAAACTTGCAATTTCCCGTGTTTTTACCACATCCTCTACAGCCATCTGAGAAGATGCTCCAAGAAAGGGTGGCAAATTTAAACTGACTCCCAAAGCCAACAAATCCTAAACTATGAATCCCTTATCTGCCATAATGAAGTCTTTGTCATCAAATGGTAGATTTAATAATCCACTCCATCTGACAATTTCCCGATCAGAGATAGAACCTGTATACAGTTGACTTCTGAATGTCACTGCTCCACTGGGAGAAATACCAACCAAACCTTTCAAAGCTGTGTGATTTTTGTAAGCACCGAAAAGTTCTCAATTCAACTGCAAGCTGCTTGGCATTTGACATCTAACCTCAGTCCGGTGAATTATGTCTCTAGTAGATTTGTACCTTCCCTTAAAAGATTTGAGCATTGTATTGATTACTTTTCTGCTGGGCCAAATGTTTATTTGTCCAAACTTAAAGAACATAAAATTGACCCATGTGATAAATATTCTACTTACTGTGGATGCTGATACATTAAATAATTGAGCTAGATGGTCCTCTGGGAACCTTGCCTTAGTATACACATGACTATAAAAAAATCATCGAGGGGCTTTAAAGATATAGCTCTCCCCTTTTTACTGGGATACCTGTCGTCTTTTTTTTTTTCCTCCGCCTCAAAATGGAAAAATTGCGCAATAGTACCCAGTTGTCATTGGGCTCTCAACACCATGACAACCAACTGTGATCCAATGAAGTGTTCACATGCTGATCACGCGTGTTATGTTGATGATGATTGACGTTGTCATGCACGGACAGGGCCGGGTCACATGACGAACCATGGGATCTTTGCGTATAAAAGTCTTTTGTATTTCAACGTGTTTGGATTAGGATCACACGGAGCATCACGGCGCAAACGCTCAAAATACTTACAGACGCATACACAAGTCGTATTGTTCGCGTCCACGCTAAAAGATGTTATTGAGCGGTAATTTTGGAACGGATTGAGTAGCCAACGCTTGAAAGCTATGAAAGCCTTGAATGCCATGTATGCCAAGTATGCCAATGTCTTAGTTGAAAAACGTCGCTTGTCGTAAAAAGCAAAATCTGAAATTTGAAACCAAATTGCATATACCGTATGCTCTATGCAATCTGTTGAACAACACTCTTATCGTGAGACTAAAGAACAAAACTCTAATGGATGCAAAATGATAGTGAAGAAAGACGGCATGTTGGATTCACTTGATGCCAGGGAACGTAGCTACGATAACAGTGCGAATGGTATTAATTTCACGATCACAAAGGTGAATCTTATGTTTGTTTTCGTTGTAGTTGTATGGATATTCTTTTTTAATAAATACACGATCCAAAATCCTGTGTTTTTTGTGTGTATAATGTTATTATGTCAAGTATTGTTTACGCAATTGTCTTGTCACAGGCGGCCCAAGCTCACGCCTCGAGAAAAAGCCAACGATTAATTCATGAACGCGTCACGCGTTGTGTGACTCGGTATTAAGTTACGAGAGGAACCGTTGAAAATTTGAACAATCGTATAAATATGATCGATTTACAACGATAAATATTTCGAAATATGAACATTTTTCTCGTAAAATCAGTAAAACTTACTCATACCCTGTGTATCCGTTGTAGTTTCTGGCGATTTCTGCCGTTTTAAGCTTGCTTTACCATCACTGTTATTCGCGTCATCTTCTTTTATTACGTTGGTAAAATCTGTACAGACATCACACCAACCAACTCGCGCGCAAAGTAAGAAGACTATATTGAAGGCTTGAAATTATATTACGATCGATTTTCATCAAGAAATGGGCCAGGAATTTTCCACAATAGTGCAAATAATCGTGAAGGCTGATCGCGGAAAAGCGATTGCGTGACGCTCGGTAAGCTGTAAGATGACATGTCATGACATGTTATTACATACCAGACGTAAAAACTCTTCAGATTCTCAGTCTGCATTTTTTACCCACTCTACAGTCTGCAGTCTATATTTTGTATCCGGTCTGCAGTCTGCTGTCTGCATTTTGTAGTAACAGGTATCCGTGACACCAATACAGTTTATTTTTGGTGACATTTATTCGCACAACACACATAATCTACCACAAAATACCTGTGTGTGAGGTAATTCGACATTTTCGTTCTTTTCCGCGTTAATACTCTTTTTTTGTTCCTTTTGTAAGAATGTAGACCACTTACAATGTTTCAAGTAATCCACCCACCCTACAAAAAATAAC